TAAAGTATGACATCAATGTATTGCATAAGTGATGGTGAAAATATGCTGATGTCTACATATAGACCAACTAAATTCATTGCCTCATATCCTGAATTACACATAAATTACAGGTTGAAAAATACTGTATAGTAGTACATGTCTGATTAAATTATCAAAATTACACATTTTGGGGAGAAATTAGCCATTTTGACATATTAAAAGGCTCCAGTTTTTTTAAACGTCAGCCCTAAAAGCAAGTCTGACATGCTCATCCTTAACTATTAGCAGTTCTTTGCAATTGTAAAACCAAACACCAAAAGTCATGTACTGCTGATGTAGCTTCTTTGAGGGAGAATATATAAAACCAGAAAGAATACATGGGGACCCTGTAGGCCTAACTCGTCACTTTAAGGTAAAAAGACAAGTTGTTTCTTCCATTCTTTTGTTTTCACTGCAGAATGTGTTTCTGTTGATACTTTAATTGCTCTAGAGTTGAATCAGGGTGAGGAAAGATGACTTTATGCCACCTTTCTACTCTTCTGATCAGTTGTGTCCGAAGGTAACTAGGAGCAGGCTAAGGGCTACTCTAAGGTCTCAATCCTTCTCCCGTTGACTTCAATGGTGCCAGATTGTTTATCCTCTGCTGCACTGACAGGAATAATCTCCTCCGACAGAGATCACCAGAACATGACCATAATCCACCGTACATCTTGCGCTCCCCTGACAAACACCCTGTCCTGAGGGAAGTAGCTGATATATTGCCAGTTACTTCCACTTTATACCACCAGGGGACTCTCCTGCACTAGGGTTATCGTCCAACAGCCCTATTAGGATAGCTCTCCAGCTAGTTGGTTCTCTTTTGAGCTGCTCAAAGTAGCCAGAGAGGGCTGAGTGTCTGGTGCTGGGAGTCTAAATGTAGTAAGGAGATATTTGGTCCACACCAATAATCTTGCACAACTGGGAATTAACATAGTAAAATATTCAGCGTGGTGTGCTGTACTTTATAAACTTTCTCACAGGTAGATGCCAAAATAAACCTGGCACAAAGAGCATTTTGATATATATATATTTTTAATTTTAGCAGTGCAAAACAGTTTTCAGTGGAAGGACCAATGAAAAATACCGTTAAAGATAAAAAGTTCTTACATCTCCTCTGACTCTTATACAGTAATAATATGCAATATGGATCAATTGCTTCATTTAATTAAAACTTAACTAAAATAAAGATGGTATTGGGACAACATCCAATTAAATTATAGAAGGGCCTGAGCTGAAAAATTCAAAACAGGATCTCAGGTTTTGGTTCAGCCCATAGTAGAGATAGAGACCAGCTGTGAAATTTGGATCCTTATCTGGGTTTGGATTGTGAACTTGTCTCCTCAAAGTTCAGACATGTTTCAGATCCAGACTTTAGTTTGGGTCCATCTCTAAAAAAAATCAATATATTTCCAAAGCAATTAGGTTAGGGACAAATTACCCCTTGCATTGCTGCGGGCACAGAGGCTGTGACCACAGCCAGACCAACAAGGTTTCACTGCACAGGGGCTGTGACAGGATATGAGCAGTGAATGCTGAGGTCTGCATCCCAATACTGAGAAGTCCCTAATAAGTTCTCAAGCAGCAATTTTCTTACTTTGCCTATCTGTAAATTTCTGTTATTGATGGAAATATTTTTTTTAGTCAGTTTGTGTATGTACAGAGAAATTAACATTTACCAACATTTACATGTATTAATCGAATCCTTCCTAGTTATGAAGCTGGTATTTGGGGTGAAGGTAGGCTGGGGGGGAGGGCACAGAGAGTCTGCCTTTAGGACCATTATATGTTAACAAAAAACATCATCAGTAGAGTGTTAGCATATTAAATAGATAAACACTTCCATATGGAAAGAATAAGAACTTAAATATTCCCCATTGACTCAGCAAAATGTGTATTTTCTGAAAGAATCATTTTGGTGCGGGGGGGGGGGGAGGGAGAGAGACCACACACAGTGCTACTTGTATATATTTTTGTATATTCCTATTTCATATCATTCTTTGCGCTCTGAAAAGTGAGATGTATGAATGGAAGAATAAACAGCAAGAACCATTTCTTGAGTTATTCACACTTTTGTTTTAATGAATATCCATTTTCACATTTTAATTTTGCTGTATCCAATTAATTAGGGTGAAATTGGAGATCCAGGAGTTCCAGGAGAATTTGGACCAATAGGAATCAAAGGACAAATGGCAAGCACCTTTTTATGAATATTGATTTGTCTTGAGATTGGCTTGTTGTTAATGCAGAAATCACATGTAATATTTCCTGCCCAGGTGATAGAAATCTGTTTTAAATGGATATCCTTTAACATGCTGAATTTATGTGTATTACATCTGTTGTAAGCACAATAGTCCAGATCCCGCACTCTGTTGCAGTTGCTTTGTACACCACTAGCACGTCTAAAACTGGTGTAGCCGGCTATGGAAGATCAACCTAGTGCAAGAGGCGGCCTCCAGTGGCCTATAGCTGGATGACATGTCTGTCTCTTCGGACCAGTGTAATGGGCCACTACCTTACAATATGTGCTAACTACTTAAGCTGAACAATCTGTTCCACCATGCAATTTCTGTGACACTGAGAGTAGCTTTCCCAGACTTGAAGAAGAGCTCTGTGTGGCTTGAAAGCTTATCTCTCTCACCAAGAGAAGTTGGACCTAGAACTAGATAAATTCATGGAGCATAGGTCCATCAATGGCTATTAGCCAGGATGGGCAGGAATTAAGTCTCTAGCCTCCGTTTGCCAGAAACTGGGAATGGGGGATGGGATGAATCACTTGATGATTACCTGTTCTGTTCATTCCCTCTGGGGCACCTGGCATTGGCCACTGCCAGAAGATCCAATACTGGGCTAGATGGACCATTGACCTGACCCAGTGTGGCCGTTCTCTTGTTCCTATGACCAATGGCAACCTGAATAATTTACACTGGAAGACTGGTGTAGCACAGAGCTGGCTCCAAATCAGGGAAACACAACGTCTAATTATTTTATAGAAATCCTGTGGAGGGCTGATGTTATGGGGAAGTCGGTGGAGTGGGCGGGGGCATATTTTGTTGCTGTTTTTACTGGCTGAAACATGAACATTTCTTATTGTATTATGCTCCTTATCAATAGTAAGTTAAATTTTTTAAGGGTTGCTAGAGCTCGTATAAGTGGTTTTTATATTTTAAATTGTAATGATACATGAGTTACTTCAGTTACTAGTTTGAAAGAATCTGATAGATGGCTAAGTCTTCTTCATTTAATAGGCCAAGGTAAACAAAACACTTCTTTTGGAGCAATTGTTTCCTGTTTAACTGTGTTTTCAGCTCCTCTGACAAAGGAAGGGCGAAGTTGTAGTAGTAGTTTTGTATTCTAAGTTAGCCATGCAAATTGCTAACCTTTTTCAACTCTTGTTTTTGTAGTTATCACACTATGACTTGGTTTTTTTCCTCACTTCAGACTGATCTTGTTCCCTCTGAAATCAGAGACTTTTGACTTTAACATCAATGGGAGCTGGATTGGGTCCTTGACGTCGTCGTCTTTTTTTTTTTTTTATACATGTAAAATGTTATTGGTTAGATATTACACGTGACATAGTGCCCATTATCCATTAATTTCTAACACAGGGTAAATTTTTCAAAAGCACCTGAGTGATTTAGGAACCTCAGTTCCATTGAAAGTGAGTGAAACCTTATACCCCCAAAGAACTTGGTGCCTTATGACAATTTTGCCAACAGACGTTAATAAACCAGGAGAGGCAGCATGCCATTGGGGTTATAAATGTAAACGTTGTGCTACGGTAGTTTAATTGGTAGCACACTCACTTCTGGGCCAGAAGAAGCTTTTCTGAAATACAGTCAGTTCCCTTGCCAAGGGTCAGGTCCTTGGTCATGCTAAGGTCATGGTCCGCTGCTGGAGCTGTGCAATATGACCTTAAAATGGTGTGCCAGCATGGGAGGAGAACCTTGGACCAGCAGAGCTGGCTATACTTCCGCTGCACTCACCCCCCTGGTGCAGAGGTTGTGTTAGGGATGTCTGAAATTGTTTAGGGGTGCATGGTTAGGGATCGAGGGGGTGGGACACTTACGTATCACTTCCTATCCCAGGATATCAAAGCATTTTACAAATATGAATTAATTTAGCCTCAGTGTCTTTGTGAGGTGTAGGGAAGCAGGCAGGCAAGTGTTGTTTCCATTTTACCATGGGGAAACTGAGTCACAGAGAAGTTAAGTGACTTTCCCAAGGTTATACAGAGTCCATAGTAGAGGTGGGAGTAGAATCCCTATCTCCTGAGTGACTGTGCAGTAAGCATTGCTAGCATTCAGCTGAACCACCCAAAGAAAAGCAGTAGTATGCTGCCATCCTATTTTTCTTCTTTTAAAAATGGTTATATGTGAAAATATATAGGGCCTGATTCTCTTCTCACCCAGCTATAAATCAGGAGTATATCCGTCGAACCGAATGAGTTAAAGTGGTGTAAAACTTGCATTAATGAAATGGAGAACTGGGCCCTAGAGTAGAGAAGTATGCAATACTATCATAACTGCTGTATATACCATTTGTAGAGTGTCTGTCTGTCTAATTTATGCCAATGTTTCCAGGGTCCTCCAGGTCCTCCTGGTCCAGAGGGATTTCCAGGGGACAAGGGATTTCCAGGACCCAGGGTATGAATTGACCACGTAAAGTGTATGTAATTTTATTTGCATGAAAAGGTACTCCCTTTAAATTTGAAGGTGAGGAGAGGTGATTTTTTTTCCTGTCTCCGGCTACAGTATGTATTCAATAGTCTAAATCATTAAGACACTCACATTTTGGGGTGCCGGAGGTAGGTATATTGTAAGCTGCTTGGTTATGTCACTTTGAAAATGCTAATTCTGTGTTTTCGCCTGCAATATGACAATAGGTTTGTGTGTTTGTATATCAAATTATGTTACAATACTTTGAACTAAAATTCTAAGGGTCAGATTTTCAGAAAAAAGAGACCCAAAGTCTATGCATGTAACTGTGTGTCCAAATTTTCACTCTACTGCAACTGAGAGCACAAATCAGGTATTTGCATGTGCAAATGACTATTTAGATACCCAAATCTAATTTTGCATGCAAATCTAGACAACTATTTAAATGCCTAATTGTACTTAAAATGTAGTTGCAACCTTTTTTCATTTGGACCTTGGGCCTCTCGTGAAAACTGGCAATTAAAGAACAACACGTGTTGCAACGTTTTTAAAAAATTAGGAACGTATATCTTGTTTTTGGAATCTTTTCTATCCAGGTCTGAAGTTTGCAGCTTATGGCTGTTTTCAGAGAATTTTGTAATCAAAGACTGGAGTTAAAAGATCTCAATAAAAGTGAGCTGAGATTTCACTCATCTCAGAAATTGAATCTGGACTCCACTCAAATCTAATTTTTGTTTGTAATCAGTACTTGGGCATAAGCAGCAGTAATGTCACACAAAGATATATTGGACTGATGCTTAGGGGCAGCAACATTACACCTGATTTTCAAAGGTGCTAAGAACTTGGATTCCCATATATATTAATTATTAATTCTTCTGTCTCTCCCCAAAGCCCATTAAAATAAAATAACTCTGTTTCTGTTTGGGTATCATGATCCCATCATTCTGGAACTTAAATTGCCATCATAGCATAATACATATTAAATGAAAAGAGAGAAAATACATAGTACAGTCAGGTTCTGCTATGATTGTCTTGTTGTACAAGAAATTCTTGCAGTTAAATTGTTATAATTATCCAGGCAGTTTAAAGCTTTGAATGATCTAGTAATCTACAATCTTGTTCTTATAGGGCGCTAAAGGAACAATGGGACTGCACCCTTCTCCCGTATGTATCTCTGGCATGTTTCTATATTCAGTATACATTTAGAAATAAACCACTTCATTAGCTAAGAATTCCTTTCTTTCTCCTTGTTTTGTTTCTGTTCTGCAGCCATGTGAAATCATTGACTTTGTGCGCAGACACAGCCGTAAGTACTACATCATTTTGCTTTATAAAATTACATCACCCAAAGGGTCAGCACTTGAAGTGATATTTTAGGGAAAGAAAATCAAGTTCTAGCGACCACTTCTTTTTCAATTTACAGACTTAACGGCCATTTACATGCAAAAGAGAGAGTAATTGCTTGACAAGTAAAGAGCCTTCATTTCAGAGAGAGTATTTTTAGCTCACAGTAGATCCTTTTTACGATGCTGTTTTAGCTGTGTTTGTACCATGCACTAAGTGAATCAGTAAATGTCTATTGATTCTAGTAATCAGTAACTCTGCATGATCATTTCTAACATGCTTCTCTGATTTCCTTTGAAAGTTCACAAATTACAAAACAAACAAAAAACCCTCTTTTGAAATATAAGACTATTTTAAATGGCAATAGCTGTTATAGGGATCTGTGTTCCCTTTGTTGTGTATAAAATAGCCTTCATGGAAATTAGGTGCTTGGGGCACTTGGAAAGGACTAGTGTCCATATGAATAATGAAGATGCCCCAAGTGCCCTTAAGGGAAGATCAGGAAGTAAATTACATTATTTTATGTTTATGGATCTTAAATACAGATTATGGACCCTTACTCATGTGACTAATCTTGATCCACAGTGAAAGTTCAGCTGAGCTGGGCTAAGCAGAGAATATTTATTTGAGAAAACATTAGAATGTTTCAGTCCAGGGTCTCGAACCATGGAATTTGCCAAAACAAATTCAGGAGTTGGGATAATTTGCTGAGTTATATCTATTTCTCTAAACTCTGTTAGAAACCAGGGACCATAGACATCCACAATAAGAACATGCAATGCAAATTAAGGGACAGAAGCTGAACTCCCTGTGCACCTAACAACTTCCACTGAAACCAATGAGTGTTTTGCATGCACAGGGAATGCTGTAAAATTATAGGTGTGCAATCCATGACACTACAAGTTTTCTTTTTTAAAGAGATTTTAGGATTGTTTTAAAAATATGCTGTATAATAATTTTTCCCTTTTTTTTGTTTAGCTTGTTGGCAGGGTGAGTACTGTTTATTATTATATTGTTGTAACTAAAATCTTAAAATGTATCAATGTGTCTGGGAAGATGGTTTGGTAAAGACCTCACTTGTGATCTGGAGTTTCACTTCTTTAAGCTCCCCACCTGCTGATAGATCAGCCTCTGTTTGTCTCTGGCTAACTAAGCGTAA